CTGGACCTGCTGAGAGGGCAGAGACCAGTCTGGCTGGCAAAACATTGGAGGCTGTACCAGCCTTGGCCAGAAGCACGGGCACAGGCCACAGCGGCCGACAGCTGGTCTCCAAACGCACATTGTGGCTACGGCTGACCTCAGCCAGCGTCTTCCGCTCCCACTGCAACATCCCCCATTACCCTTCTCACAGCTCCCCTCCCGATCCCATCACCCCAGACACCCCACGTCAGTTCCCAAAGGCGTTGTCAAAGGGAGCAACCCCACCAATGAATTCTTTGTCACCCGTTCTGGATTTACTCTAGGTCAGCGGTCGCCAACCGTTCAGACCTCACGGACCATGGGCTGGCGACCACTGCTCTAGGTTGTGGGTTTTACCCAATAACCTGAGCTGCATGGTGTGGGCTTTTGACATCTTGAGAAGAAACAACAGCCATTCCAGCATCATGGTCAGGTCCCAGAAGGCCACTGCCTCTCCCAACACCTTCGCCCTAAACACATGGCTTGGATCGCCGCCTGGGCCCCCCTCAGCCCCGTTTCAGTATATAGGATAGAGATGGAAACTATGTGAATCCCACAAAGCCACCCGGTAAAAATGATCTGGGGTGTGGCAGGAGTACCCCACAATTTAAACTGGAGACTCATGTCTGAAGAAGGATGAGCCCAGGCAGATTCCAGCTCCTTGAGCAGGGTACTCGGTGCAGCTCACCCCTATTTGGAATGAGCACGCCACCTTGAAGCCTTCCTAACCAACTCCACACCCCTCCCCGCTCCCCGCCAGGTTCGCCACCAGCTTCGCCTACTACGGGCTGGTCATGGACCTGCAAGGCTTTGGGGTGAGCATCTACCTCATCCAGGTCATCTTCGGAGCCGTGGACCTGCCTGCCAAGTTTGTGGGCTTCGTGGCCATCAACCACCTGGGCCGGCGGCCGGCCCAGATAGCCGCCCTGCTCCTGGCGGGCCTCTGCATCCTGGCCAACGGGGTGATACCCCAGGGTGAGCACCTTGGTCCTTCGTCCGTGGCCTCCTCCCCACACATGACTCAACTTCCCACCAGGGAGCGAGGCCACATCCTCCCCGCCCCCGCTCCCCAGATCCCTGACACCTCTCCTTTCTCTCTAGATCAGTCCACGGTCCGAACCTCCCTTGCTGTGCTGGGCAAGGGCTGCCTGGCTGCCTCCTTCAACTGCATCTTTCTATACACTGGGGAGTTGTACCCCACAATGATCCGGTGAGTGGGAGTCCAATGGGGGAGGGGGATCCTGGGGTAAAATATTGCCTGCATACACAGGTCAAACCCCAGAGCATGGTCCATATGCCCAGCCCAAAAGTCCTTCCCAGCACCCATCAGCACAAGGTACATAGCAGCCACTGGATACACACTCGGTCCCTGGCTGACACAGGACCGACTACCCGCTCAGCCCTTCCCAGCCCTCGAAGACCTCGGAAGGTGGCCCAGCTGAGACAAGGTGGGGGGCCAAGAAGATGCATCTCAGAGGCAATGAACTGAAGTCGCCCCTTGATCTTCAAAGCTCAAGTTAGAATCCGACACCAAATCTAAATTCCACCCAGAAGCCAGGTGGTCCGTCTGAAACCAAAGACCACCAGCTCCCCATCACAGGAGCCGCACTTGCTGGCGGCGGGACCTGGCACACCAGCCGTCGGATGGACACAGCACTACTTTTCCCAGTGCCCAGACTCGGCCGAGGGAGGATTTCCGAATTAAGAAGCAGGAAACACGTGTCTGTTTTCAGAAGGGGATGCAAAATTCACATGCGATGTCAAAGCGACGTCAGGCTCCCCGAAGCCACTTGGGGAACCCTGAGGGGTCATGGGTACTGTACTGAGCCCTCGTGGGATTTCGGGGGAAAGAATAATCGTATAAGCCACTTACTATGTGCCAGGCGCTGTCTTAAACCTTCTGCCAATATCAACGCATTTAATCCTCATAACAAGCCTATCAGGTAGGTACAGTGGGGCCTTGACTTACGAGTGTCCCGACTAACGAGATTTTCGAGATACGAGCCATCTCTCGGCCGATTTTTTGCTTTGAGTTGCGAGCTAAAATTCAGGTTATGAGCCAGCTTCAGATACCCCACCGCTAGTTGGCGCAGCGAACGTCAGAGTGAACGCCACAGTGAACGCCACAACATCAGCCCAGCATCACGTGTCTCACTCGTTCACTTTTTGATTTGACATACGAGTAATTTGAGTTACGAGCTCCTCACGGAACGAATTAAACTCGTAAGTCAAGGCTCCACTGTACTATGATTATTCCCACTTGATAAATGAAAAAAACTGAGCCACAGAGAAGTTAAGTGACTTGCCCAGGGACACACAGCTTGTAAGTGACAAAGCTTGGATGTGAGTCGCCTGGGTCGATGTGCTTAACCTCTGCTCTCGTAGAGAATGTTCTTAACCTATTCTTAACTTGCACAGTCCAGACCCTTCCCCTGGGGGTTCTAATCCGAGAGGTCTGTCTGTGTGGGGCTGGGGCAACTGTCACTCAGAAATCCCGCAGGTGATCTGAGAACAGTTGGCCCAACTCGGCTGTCGGATTTGACTGCCAAGGAAACGTAGGCCCAGAAAGGAGAAGGGACTGGCCGAGGTCACACAGCAAGTTACGGGCAGAGGCAACACCCATCTCCTGATTCTAAGGCCAGAGCCCTCCCAACCTCCTCCTCCTCCTCCTCCTCCTCCCCTCCTCCTCCTCCTTCTTCTTCTTCCTCTTCTTTTTCTTCTTCTTCTTTTTCTTCTCCTCCTCCTCTTTCTCTTCCTCTTCTTAAAGACTACCCTTCAACATTTCATGTACACTGGTTTGGTGGTGATGAACTCCTTTAGCTTTTTCTTGTCTGTAAAACTCTTTATCTGACCTTTAATTCTAAATGAGAGCTTTGCTGGCTAGAGTAATCTTGGTTGTAGGTCCTTGCTACTCATCACTTTGAATATTTCTTGCCACTCCCTTCTGG